TGTTAATGTTTTTTAAAAATCGCCCTATGTTATTGAAACTTGTTAAAATTGAAGTTATCGAAAATAAATGCAGAAAAAAAATAGGATGTCAAAAAACGTTTCTTAATAACGCAACATTCATTTTTATCGATTTTGCACTGACCACACTGTCAATAGGTAAATAATCAAAAAATTAAGAAACTAATCGAAATTTTTTATTTAACAATCGTTTGACATTATCAAAATAGCTTCACAAAACGCTCAAACGTCTCAACTTTCACTCTCACAAATTCGTGAAACTACTACTTAAACACAATCTCCTAAGAGAAAAATTTTTTAGCTACGATTATTATCAACAATTTTTTAAAACTGGTGATCATATACTTACTTAAAATGTACTTTTTCTAATAAAAGAAATGCAATCTTCAATAAATTAAGCATTTTAAAATCATAACGATTTTGGTTTATAATAATTTAAGTCAATAGTATATTACAACCGAGTTTGGAAATATTTTATTACCCCGAGCGACGTAGCCTCGAGGGTGTATGAAATTTCCATTTTTCAGTTTTTTATTCATTTTATTGAAATAATAATTCTTCTATCAAAGTTGAAGTCAGTTGGAGCGAAGCTTTTCTGTTTAATTAAGTTTGGTTTTTGTCGAATCACCTGAGGTTTGCGGTAGTTCCCGTCAAATGATGCGGCGGCTCGTTAACGAATAAATGATCGCACATAATCACAGATCAGCGTCTGAGCAAAAAGTAAAGCTATAACTTCATCTCGACCGGTCAACAAAGACCACCAACTGGCGGTAACAAGTTACTGATTTTCTAGATTGCGAACGCTTGAGGCGTTTCCGTCTCGTGCAGAAATTTTAGTACTACTTTTACAAAAATAGTAAACAATTGGAAAAAAGGATTGCGCAACGGATAAAATGGCGTGATGCTGGAGAAAGGCAAAGATTGAGGTGTTGCAAGCGTTCCGGGAACCCCAGGTTTCGGACACTTTTACGTCATGTTCACAAAATTCCCCAAATTGAAAGTGGTCACCAGAAATTCCACTTTTTTTCGGAAAAATCTGCCGTACATTCGATATTTTCTGATCTCTTACAGTTTCAACCTTGATTTTATTAATCATTAGTCGGTTTGGTCAACTAATTGCAAATATTGGTATCCAGCTACTCTTATTAATCTTGTTCTCATTTTTTGCACCAGCAAGACACAATTTATCAGGATTGACGCAAATTTATTGTATTTTCAATAATTATTTTATTGATTTGTTTGCAACTAAATGTGTAAATAAATAAAAAACTAGAACTTTGAATTTTAATGTTTGTTTGTACATAAATAAATGATTCATAATTAGAACTATTTATCATAAGAACACTGTTACAGAAAATTTAAATGTTAATTAGTGATTAATTTGACGTTCAGCATTCTATTATTGAAAATAAATGATAAACATAGTTCTAATTAGTTTAATTTGAGGTAATTTTTTTAATCAGGCTTTTGTTAAATTAAGTGTAATAATATTTTTTAACACAATCTGTAAACAAGCATTATTTTTATACAGGGTGAACAAAAACTATGAAGTAAGAGCGTTTTTTAATTATTGAATTATTGACAATTTGGCATTCGGAAAATAATAAAAAAATAAAAATAAGGATAAAAAATATGATCGTTTTTGAGAATGAAATTTGGTTTTGTTTTTGGGTTTTACGATTTTTTTTTAATTGACAACTCTAAATTATCAAAGTTGAAAAATAATAATAAAAGTTAAAAAATCTAGTTACATGGTATCTATAAAAAAAATAACTTTAACAATAATCTTATTAAAATTAAAAAAAAATAATATTAAAATAAATTAATCACACTAAATTACATGTTTTTCTAATTTGTTTTTGTCTTTGATTTTACGTCAAAACTGTAAAGGAAAAATGTTTTTTGCTTCACCTGAAATGCCAATGTGATAGGACTTAAAAAGGAGAGAACAATTATTCCAAGTCCAAAATTAAGGCAAAAATGAACTTTTCTTTCTACTGAGTCAGAATACGTAATGAAGTTTTAATTACAGATTTACTCGTTTCAGGCGAAGCAAAAAATGTTTTTTTTTTCCTCTTGTAAACTCAATCCGGGGACATACTGTATACATATAATATAATAAATTTATTAAAGATATCTTATCACAGATTATACAACTCGAACATGATTGCGTTATAGAAAAATTTATACATTTATTTAAGCTTAGACAATATTATTATTTTAATATTCAACAGTTTTCGTCCAGTAACTTTTCAACTGACTTTAATTTTGTTAGAAGAACAGATAATTTATTATTTCATCAAAATTAATAGGTTAAAAATGCATAAGAACCTCGGTTGAAATTTCATACAACTTCGGACCTCGAGGTTGCGCCGCTCGGGGTAATAAAATATTTCCAAACTCGGTTGTAATATACTATTGACTTAAATTAGTATAAACCAAAATTGTTATGATTTTAAAATGCTTAATTTACTGAAGGTTGCATTTTTCTAGTTCATTTTTGTAATATTTATCTCTCGAAATCGATATTAAAAAGTCAAAATTCTAATACTTTTGAATAAATAATGATCTGTAGGGAGATGATTAGCATTCGTTTACTGTTATTTCATTATAAAAAAAATGTTGATAATCATGGTTGAAGTTTTTTTTTTCCTTGGGAGATTTTGTCCAAGTATCAGTTTGTGAAAGTGAAAGTTGAGACGTTTGCGCATTTTGTGAAGCTATTTTTGATAATGTGATATTTGGGCCAGTGCGAATTGAAAGGCTTTATTCTGGCCTCGGTGTATTTTGAAATTTGGCCGTCGGCGAGCACCGAACGGGTGAAACTAGCTCGAAGCCATAATTGCAATAAAATAGAACAGTTAAATCCGTGATATGCAACAACACACTTGTAAATATTTCAGATGCTAGTGTATCCGAGTGCACACCTGTTGTGTGACAAGATCGTATCATATGCTTTACCACAATGTGTATACTATTATCATAACTTGGTGATCTCTCTAAACTGGTTCTACTATTTTTAGCAAACTGTCAAGAATGCATCGTTTTCTAAGAAAATCAAATCGTTGCGCTCACGTCCGTCAGAAATATCCTGCTACGGTCCTGTCGCGCGCCTTTTTGCGCTCAATTTTTTATTGAATCAAATTAAGATATGTTAAGTTTTTAAATGCCGTTGGCAATCATTGGCCTTGCACTTAATGAAAAAGCGCAATCTCTGAAAGAACCACCACAAGTGGCCACACAACGAGATCGAGTTATCTCTTCTCCTGCTGCAGAGCTCGGTTTCTTCCTCTTGCTTGTTTTGTTTGTTTCAAGAATGACCGGCCCTCAGGAATCACATAAACAACCCAAATTATTATTACTCGCACCAAACACGCGAAATTTACAAACTCGCATCCAATTGTGATGCGAAAGCAATTAAATAAAAATGAATTGCCACTGATAACCTTTGGGGGCAATCAAATTATTTCAAAATTCCATGACGACCAAAAAAAACTGGAACTCTACAACCGGATATTTCCCAATTTGACACAGAATCCTAACTAAAAACCAATGTTGGTAAGATGAGTTATAAAAATCAACAAACAAAAATGCTTGATAGCAAAAAAATTATTATCATCTTTAGTATACAGGCGGTTT